AAGAAGAAGAGAAGAAGGGTCAGTCGAAAATCTGATGGTTAACCCATCCAGTCAACCCCCTTAATCTATATTAGATTCTAATAATGTTTACAAAGACAGAGATGCCCTTACTTAAGTGTGGGGCAGAGTAACTCTAATAACACTGCCACATAAGCAAGTTACTTAATAAATAGAAGAAGGCTAAACTACCCCTATTCGGCATATCTTAACAACTATGTCTGGTTTTTCCCTCCTAAGTAGGTCTTTTATCACTCTTCTCTTTCTTGCACTCCCCAAGCCTCACACATTCCAACTGATAATTTTCATCATTTCTTCTCTTCTAGAGTCCCTTTACTCGCTAGTCTCCTTTCCTTACCTAGTGATCTTCCTTGTCTCTCCCCTTCCACTAAACTCTAGGTCCCCTCAATGTCAGACTTTAATCTCTCCACATCAGTCTTTTTTTTTTTTTTCTTTTTATTTCCTTTCTTTCCTCATTCTTTTTGTCATTCTTCCTATGGTACCTCTTCATTCCTCCCTTCTCATCGATATCAGCTTTTTTAGTATTCCTATCAATTGCCGAAGTTGACTCTTTTCCTTTACCCTCTTTTCCAGCATCCACCTCTAATTCCTTCCTAGTTGATTCCTCCCTCCCCTTATTCTCTTCCACTATCCTTCCTTTTGCATGAGCTCTTCAAAGTCCATCATAATCAACTCCCATATTCTTTCAGCCTCCTCTCCCGGTTGTTGACTAGTTTTGGACCCAACCTTTTCTTTTAATTTCTCATTGTCACCTTTAGCCCCCCTAGATTCAGCACCACCCCCTTCCAGGTGAGATGCAGGAGTATTTGCAATAGGCTCAGCACGCAAGTCAGCACCAAAAAACAAATGGACATTCATACTTGGGTACCTAAAAAGATGAGGGAGGACTATTTGGAGCTTAGAGCTGGATATTTCAACTGAGGCCACGTTCTTCCCCTTAACCGGACATTGCAGTGGGGTGGTATGGGTTAGATTACGTCCCTGTCTAATCTCGTTGTGAGAGGACCCAATCCCTGTAACTCCCTTTTTGACCTACCTTCACAATCCTCAATGGAAGCCTGCCCCTCTGTACTAACCCCTAGACAACACTGCTTCATTGGGTTAGCTCCTTTTTTTTTTTTTTGATCAGCAAAAGGACTTTTATTAATAACAGAGAAATATTGAATTACAATAGTTATAGGTTGCAGAATGCATTAACCCAATCTGCAAACACTACAAAACATTTACAGTTCTTCCCAGTACAAGGTAGATCTATTTGCCCCCTGTTTTGCTAGGGTGTCCACCTACCCATTTGCAGTCCTTTTGACCCAACCAAACTGAGAGCTGAACCTCCTTGCAATTATGTCAATTTCTCTGTATATAAATTTGAGCTTCCAAGGTGCTGATGTGATGTTTTTAGCCCAATAAATGACCAGCAGCGAGTCTCCTTCTATTTCTAAATCTGTTGTACCAATCTGCTCAGCCATCTTTAAACCCTGAAGTAGAGCCAAAGATTCAGCCTGTATTGAGTCACCAATACCTATTGGTCCTGAGAAGAGTGCCACAACTTCACCTAGATGATTTCTAATCACACCCCCTATATCTGCCCTTCCCGAATTACCAAAGGAACTCCCATCAAGTTAAGTTTTAGTTTGTTCAGTGCAGGTGGCTTCCACTCCGCTCTCACAACTTCTTTGGGTGCATCTATTTGTGCTACTTCAGTCCAGCTTCTTAGAATCTCATTCGTGGAGAAGTTTTTGAATAGTTCCATGGTCATCACCCAATGTGCAGTTCTGATTTTTATGGTTATCAACCAAAGACTCTTCTCTGGAAAAAGTAAATCAAAGGAGGAAGTCATTGGGTTATCTCCCTTGACAATGGGGAGTGTAGCTTGCATAGCAAAATAAGCATCCGTTTTAACCCGCTGCCCCTCATTGACTCCAAAAGCTTGTATGGTGTTAGTCTTTCTTCATCTACAAACAAAATTTCTGTATTAAAACTAGCTTCGTCCATCATTTTTTTTTTGATCAATAACACAATTCATTAATTATCACAATAAATTATAGAGAGGAAGACAAACTTTCTTATCTTCCAACTACATAATGAGCTCCAAGAGAGGAAACAAGAGAGAAAGAGAGAACAGAAAAAGAAGAAAATTAAATTACATCTGTGCCCAGAACATGACATCCCTGTCCACCCCTTGTTTAGCTAACCCATCAGCAAAAGAATTAGCTGATCTTTTTACCCAACTGATTTTAACTTCCATTTCTCGAACCAGCCACCTGAATTTCCTCTTCAAATTACTATAATTCCATAAACCACTATCTTCTTTGTTCAGCCGCCCAACCACCACCTCTGAGTCCCCTTCAATTATGAGTTTTCTGATATTCATCTCCCTAGCTTTCTGGACACCTTCCATAACTGCGTGGATCTCAGCTCTGAGAGAGTCATCCACTCCAATTAGGCCTGAGAACATCGCAGAAACAAATCTGATTCATCTCCCTAGCTTCGTCCATCATATTGAGATTCGTTTGCAAATCGATGCTGCTTAGGCTCACTGTATCAGTCCCATCTGACTCTTCACTACTCTCTTCATCTGGGCATTCTCCATCTTCTAAAAGCTCCAGATCTTTTCGCCTCACACTCCCTGGGGTTTTGCCTATCTGGCGATACCAAATCTGATTTCTTAACAGGTACCGACTGAAGATAACTATTGGAGGGGGAACCTACGCCTGAATTGTGACTATGAGCTGAAGAGCTCGAGGAAGACAATGATGGATGGTTTTCATCTTACCTTTCCTTTCCTCAATCCCATGAATATTGACTCATGTGTCTCTCCTTTATCAGCTCCATCAAAAGAAAACTGGGCCTTTTTAACTTCAACTCTCAGTTCAGTTGAAGTCTTGGGCTTTGAATGATTTACCGGCCCAATTAATTGTTGTTGGGCACGTGATCACTTAAGGCAGCATACCTTGGTTCAGAATGCTTCTTCTTTGGTTCAGACCGGTCTAAATTTTCCACCTTCCTTCATTTTTGAAAGCCTATTTTGCCGCCTTTCACCACCTGTACATAGGATCTACTACCCGCCTTTTAGCAGCATAGTTACCTTCTTTGCTTCCCTAATCTTCAGACAGTTTACCTCTAATTTTCATTTCTTCAAATAAGAGCTCCTTGGCTTCAACTTTCAAGGTTCTCCTCCATTGGCCAGCATCCACGAACCTGTTCTCCTCCATCGGCAACTTTAGAATATTCTGTTTTGTGGTTCCAAGAAAGATCATAATGGAATAAAACAGAGAAACACATATGGTAATATAACCTATGATACTAGGATACATCATTATTTCTTTGTCTTTTAGTGAACAATTAATTAAAATGGTTTGAACTCATTAGTGGTTGAAGCTGAAGTTTGGTTGATTACCATACCCTTGAATATTTTATTATTTAATTGTTTTTCCACCAAAAAACAAAGCAATAAGATGGCCCCTTAGATGCAATGAACATGGCAATTGAAGTTCTATCTTCAACCAATAATTGAGATTCAAAATAATGATATTCAGAAATTAACATACTCTCTCTCTCCCTGCTCACCAGTCTTTAACTAATTTAAGAAGCAGTCTTCAGTTTGACTTGAAAATATGCACAACTTTCAAATTGTATTTGGTTTTATTAAATATGCCTTTTCTCATTCCTGTGGTTCATTACTTATTTTTTTTATGCAGGTGAATTTAATTTTTTCCTGCCTATCCTCTTTCCATTTTGTCTCTAGACTTGAATATGTCAAACATGAAAGAAAAAGTGTGTCTCTACGACTCCTCTTTATTTCTAACATTTTGTGCTTTGAACTCTGCAGTGGCTGTTTTATTGCTGCTAGTGCATATGAAGATCGATTGGCGTTGTTTTCTGTTTCTATATCGGCTAGCAGCAATATTGTCAATAAGGTTGAATTATATTTTTATTTGCTCAACATTTCTTATGGGACTGAATTGCTCTAAATGCTAGTTGATTAAATCTTTATTATGATCTTCGTTCTGTTCTGATATTATGCTAATTTTTTGTAAAATGTTTGAAGATCCTTTGATATTTCTTAATCTCAGAAAATATTTTATCCACCTGAACATGAAGGAGACACAAGCAAGGCAATAGGTATTCAAAGAACCAGTATTTGCGGTGTTATATGGAGCATGTGTTTCATTTCAAAAGATGCTAGTCAAGTCAGTTGGAACGAATGCAGTCCTATTCTAGCAATTGTTCTGAATAGGTACGACTTTATTGATTCTGTATGTGTAATATTATGTTTTCAGAATGTTTTTTTTTTTTTGGATATCTTCTGAAGGGCTACACAACGGGGGGGTAGCCCATCCCCCAACCAATAACCCCCCCAACCCAGGTGCAGGTGGGATTGCATCCCGAGTCTCCACTACGACCAGAAGGAGACCTTACCAACCAGCTGGTTGGCAACATTATGTTTTCAGAATGTTAATTCATATTTTCAATGTTCAAAAGTGTTGAAGGCAAAGATGTTATCCTTTTCTTCCTGTCTATTCTTATAGATTAATACAACTGCTTACCTACTATTCTACTGATTAAAAAAAAATATGCGTACCTACTTTATGGAGTTATTCCTCTGCTTGAAAGAACTGTATTCTCATACTGCAGGAAGGGATCAATCCTAAATGAGCTCTTGTTATTGGGATGGAATACCAAGGAACACACTATTCATGTTATTTGTCAGTATACTGAAGCTGGGCCGACAGCATTTGACATTGTTGAAGTTCCTCATGCTAATGGCTTTGCATTTCTATTCCGGGATGGTGATGCTCTTTTAATGGATTTTAGGAATCCTGTCAATCCATGCTGTGTTTATAGAACAACTTTAAGTCTTCTACCTACTTCAACGGAGGAGCGCAATTCTGTTGAAGAACCATGCAGAGGACTTGATGTTGACGATGAAGGTATTTTTAATGTTGCTGCCTGTGCTTTACTAGAGCTGAGAGATTCACGAATAGAAATGATTAAAGGAGATGACCCTATGAGTATAGATAATGAAACCGACAAAATAAATTCTAACCCCAAACGGGTGAACTCATGGAGTTGGGAACCAGGAAACATAAGAAATTCAAGGATGATTTTTTGTTTGAATACAGGAGAACTATTTATGGTTGATATTTCTTCTGAATCTGATGGTATTAGGGTTAATTTATCAGATTGCCTTTACAAAGGTCCACCTTGCAAGGCACTCTTATGGGTTAAGGGTGGATTTGTTGCTGCACTTGTGGAGATGGGGGATGGAATGGTCCTCAAATTGGAAAATGGAAAGCTACTTTATAGTAGTCCCATTCAAAACATTGCACCAATCTTAGACATGGCTTTTGTGGATTACCATGATGAGAAACAGGATCAGATTTTTGCTTGCTGTGGTAAGGCTCCAGAGGGATCATTAAGGGTTATTCGAAGTGGTATTAGTGTAGAAAAGCTTCTGAGCACTGCTCCTATTTATCAGGGCATAACTGGTATATGGACAATGAGAATGAAAGTAACTGATTCTTACCATTATTTTCTTGTGTTATCATTTGTTGAAGAAACCAGGGTACTGTCTGTTGGTTTGAGCTTTACTGATGTGACTGATGCAGTTGGTTTCCAGCCTGATGCCTGTACATTGGCATGTGGCCTGGTGGGTGATGGTTTGCTGATCCAGATCCATAGAAATGCAGTGAGACTTTGTTTGCCCACAACAGCTGCTCATCCAGATGGCATTCCTTTATCTGCACCAATTTGTACATCTTGGTCCCCTGAGAATGTGAGTATAAGTTTGGGGGCAGTTGGGCATCAGCTGATAGTTGTGGCTACCTCTAGTCCTTGCTTTTTATTTGTTCTTGGGGTTAGATCATTTTCTTCGTATCATTATGAGATATATGAGATGCAACATGTAAGGCTGCAGAATGAATTATCTTGCATATCCATCCCACAAAAAAAATTTGCATATGAATCATCAGCTTTACGCAATACTTCAGTAGGTAACATTTATGGAACTGGCCTACCAGTTGGGGTCGAGATTGGTTACACATTTGTAATAGGTACCCATAAACCATCAGTGGAAGTTCTCTCATTTGTCCATGATAAGGGCCTAAGAATTCTTGCTACAGGGGTAATTTCATTGATGAATACTCTGGGAACTGCTATCAGTGGTTGTATCCCTCAAGATGTTAGGCTTGTTTTAGTTGATCGACTGTACATTGTTTCAGGATTAAGGAATGGAATGCTGCTCCGGTTCGAGTGGCCTTCAATCTCCACAGTATTTCCTTCAGACTTGCCTGGCCAAAACCCTTTTGTTAGTTCCTGCTTTGAGAACGTGACTGCTTCTATATCAAATATGCAACCTTCAATTTCTGTTGGGCCTCAATGTTGTGCTGGTGATATGTCTGAAAAAGTGGAGGAGAATGTTCCTGTTCATCTGGAGTTAATTGCTATTCGTCGCATTGGTGTAACTCCTGTTTTCCTGGTTCCTTTGAGTGATTCTCTTGATGCAGATATAATTACACTTAGTGATAGGCCTTGGTTATTGCAAACTGCAAGGCACAGCCTTTCATATACATCAATCTCATTTCAACCTGCAACTCACGTTACACCTGTATGTTCTGTTGAATGTCCTAAAGGAATTTTATTTGTTGCAGAGAACAGCCTGCATCTGGTAAGCATTCTACTTACAATTTTAATATTTCTGGTTCTCATGCTCCTTTCTTCTGCAATACCAGTTTTTGTTGTAAACAATACTTCAACTTTTTGAACCACATAGAACAATTACATCACAAGAATAATTAGAAAATGGCTCAAGCAAAATAGTACAGGTCCTTGGTTTCATAACAATAAGAGAGGTAAAAAAGAGTGATAGGGGAACTAGGGTTAACCTTTTGTATGGACAAGCGATCTGCCAACAGCACGGCTGATGCATTGGCGGGACAAGGAGTAAACGGTAACCAATATAATTGGGTGGTGATTTACCAAGGAGAAAGTTGTAACTAGAAAGGAGTTCCAGTGCAATAAGGAAGGTAGCATCTCCCAGTCCCATAAGGGGTGCTTGGCACACTATATGTAATTGCCATTCTTTATTAAAAGATTAATAAATGGATTGTTACTGATCACGATATAATTAGAAAGTGAATCATACTGGCTATAACAATATAACTGTAAGCCTGCAACCAAGGTTTTCAACTTCAACCTGTCATTGACTTGACCAGTTGGACTTGGACTAGTCAACCCGTCATTTGGCTGTTAATCCAGGTCCGTTTAGACTCTAACCTACTTGCTAAAAATCATTGACCTAGTAAACAACCCAGTAACCTGTCCAGTCAATCTGTTGAACTGTTTGACCTTGTCAGGGGGTAACTGAGTTGTTGACATTAAACTACCATTTTTTTTAACCATAAAATACCATTTGTCTTTGGGGAGCTTTTATCTACATCCTAAAAGCCTAATATCCAATGTAAGCCCTTTATTTTTTCTGCGTTTTCTCTTTATTCTTAGCTATTTTTAATGGTAATTACAATTATTCTTTTTTTTACACTTTATTTTTATTTAATATGCTGAATATATTACATTGTAGACATGTCCACTTTTTCTGCACTCTTGTGCATTTTTTGCTGCATTTATCTTTTTTCTATATTGTAATGTTTTTATTTATTTATAATTTATGACATCACAAGTTAACCTGTTTGACCCAGATGGTTGAGCCACTAACATGCCACCTAGAGGAAAAAGCAAAACAATTTCTGAGTCAGTTTTTTTTGATAGGAAACAATAACTTTCATTGATGAAATAAAATAAAGAGTACAACTGTCACCACCCAAAGGATGGATGGAGAGCCCATAGACATTATCAGTCTTACAAACAAGCCCAAAACAAAGCCTCCCTATTGACTCCTTCCTTAGCTAAAGCGTCAACCATTCAATTCGTTGATCTTCTTGCCCATCTAAACTCATAATTTTCTTAGCAGTTGTCTGAAAGATCATGTTCCCAAGCTTCTTGCTTGCATTCTGATGTAACCGTTTCTGGTCACGTACCAATTTTTTTTCGTGATGTATCAATTTTTGGCTAAGTACTTCGTCATTTGACCTGCTCCCAGGTGCCCTGTGGCTCAGAGGATGATGGAGCTCTCTGGTGGCGAACTCCCTGGTGGTGAGCTACTTGGTGTCGAGCTCCCTGGTGGTGAGCTACTTGGTGACGAGCTCCCTGGTGTAGTGCAACCCGACTGCCCTCTGCATGAGATGATCTGCTCCTCTTTGTGGACGGCGGGAGCTGAAGGTCCCATCCTCCCTGCGAGAGATGATCTGCTCATCTTTGTGGATGGCGGGAACTGAGGGACCTGCGAGAACTGAATCAGAGGACCTGGGGGTGTTTACCCGGCGGGGCCACTCCGATGGCTAAGTTAGCACTCTGATAATAGAGAGCTTGAAGAGAAATGAGAGAGCTAGAGAGCAGGGGTTACCTCCATTTTCATCCCCCCTTTCCCTGGGCGGGGTGAGGTCTTTATATACTGGTGACCTGACATGTAACTGCCTCTGATTCTCTGCCGCAGCCATTATTTGCCAGGGCTGAGCTGGTGGGCATAGGTAACCGTTGCAGGGTACGGTTCTGTCAGGCAGTAAGCAACGACCAGCGCTGCCAGGTACGGTGCCGTCAGACGAGAGGCGTGGGTACAATCTTCTGGTACGGCTGTCAGACAGAATGCTTCTCGTGAGGCCCCGGACGAGCTCCTTGGTGATGAGCTCCGAGCTGCCCGGTGGCGAGCTCCTTGGTGATGAGCTCCGGGCTGCCTGGTGGCGAGCTCCTTGGTGATGAGCTCCGGGCTACCTGGTGGCGAGCTCCTTGGTGAGTTCCTTGGTGAGCTACCGAGCTCCTTGGTGGCGAGCTCCTTGGAGAGCTGCCGAGCTCCTTGGTGGCGAGCTCCTTGGAGAGCTGCCTAGCTCCTTGGTGAGCTGCCGAGCTCCTTGGCTGTCATGAGGTGCCAGGTGTCATAATTCCACTGGAGGGCCAAATCTGCCCTCATCACATCCAACCTATTACCAGCTTGGAATCTCCTTCCACTTTTAATCGTTGCATTCCCCATTATTTTTCCACTTTGAGACCTTGGACTAAGGCCTTTACTTCTTCCTTCCTCATCTTTGAAGACACCCCCAATTCCTGAAGGACCTGGGTTACCTAGAGAGCTTCCATCAAAGTTCACCTTCACCCTAAAATGTAAAGGTGGGGGCCAACCGCCCAACTCTCCTGAGCTATAGGAGATGAGGAAGAGGAAACAGCTATAGCACTCCACCCTCTAATTAAGTCAACAAAAGGAAAGTCCTTGAAAAGTTGCAAATCTTTCAGCCAATCTATAATCTCAATGCCCTCAACAAGTGGTTCCTTGGATTTTTCTTGCCCTTGGAAAATCCTATTATTTCTCTCCTCCCAAACCGACTATAGGATAGCTGCTTTTGTTGCTCTCCACCTCACCCTATCCCTCCCTCTTCTTTGGTTGTTGGAAGAAGTTACCCCAAATCAATATAAAGATCACCCCAATTGGACAACTAAATTTCTGATACCCCCCAATTCCGGCCAGGTTTCCAAGAGAGCTTCCATCACAATTTAATGTTACTTTGTTGCCTTTTGGGGAGTTTCCTGTCCACCTTATTCTGTCCTTTGTTCTTGATGACTGCTATTTTTTTTTTTGATAAATGAGAGTGGTTTTATTAATTCAAATAACGAAAATACAATCAGCCTAGGAGGAGGCACGAGATGTTACCTCCCCCGAGGACTGAACCATATACACTAAACATGCCCAAGCCTGTAACACAATTACAAAGAAGCCCAAAACAGATCTCCCCTTGACACCCCTTGCTTGGCCAAAGAACCAGCCATTGCATTTGCTGATCTTCTGACCCACTGAAACCTGACAATCATATTTCTTGTCATCCATTTAACTTTCTTTAACAGATCCCTGTAGCCCCAACAAGCTGTTTCTGGGCTATTCAGCCAACCTACTACTACCTTGGAATCCTCTTCTACTAACAGATTTTTCACTCCAATTTGACTAGCCATCTGTATACCTTGTACCACTGCTAGTAGCTCTGCCTTTACAGAATCACCTTCACCCACTGGTCCTGAAAATAGAGACAACATATTGCTGTCTTTGTCTCTCAGAATCCCACCAATTCCGGATGGCCCTGGGTTATCTTGGCAGCTGCCATCAAAGTTCAATTTTACCACTCCACCCGGTGGGGGTTTCCATTCAACTTGTGAATTGTTCTTGGTGGAGACTGTAGAAGCCATTGCAGCCCAGTTTCTCCTTAAGTCAATTTTACAGACTGTATAATTAAAATAGGAAGATGTTACAGACTGCATAATTAAAATAGGAAGTAAATACTAGGGAGATATGATGTTACAGACTGTATAACTAAAATAGGAAGTAAATACTAGGGAGATATGATTTACCTTGATTGTAGGACTGATTTGTAGGAATTTGATTAGTCTTCTTTCCTAATATATTCTTTCCTAACATAGAATTTGTAACTTGTATATATACATACGAGATTGATGAATAATATAATAAATTCTTCTTCTTCCTC